ATATTCTAAAGATGGCGGCACCCTTGTTTTTAGGCCCACTCACATTTTCACTGCCCACCCAAAATAAAATTTCTGCCTACGATCGCTTCAAAGAGCGATCCAAACTCAGCCGAAACTGGGCAGCTTTACAACAGAGCTTTAACACTCTCAGATGCAGTCGAGAGGACAAATATCATGATTTAATACTTCCGTTTATATCATCATGATCACTGAGATATACTGTGTTTCAGGAACCAGTGGAGATGATCATCTGTTCATCAGTTCTGGTGTAGATGTCTCTCTGTCCTGTAATAAAGATCTTTCTGACTGCAAATCAACATCATGGACCCACTCTAACAGCTTCAGAGATTCATGGGTTAAACTGATTACTGGAGGGATAAAGAATAAAGACACAGAGAGACATGAGAGACTGAGTCTGGAGTCTGACTGCTCTCTGAACATCAAGAACGTCACAGAAGATGATTATGGATTATACAGCTGCCAACAATATGTGAACGGAGAACAACAAGGAACTGATGCTGATGTTTTTCTGAATGTTCTTCATGGTGAGTTTATGATTATGTGTTCAATATAAAAAGAGCAGATTCTCCCTTTAAACTCAGATGATGATTGAAGAGTCTGTGATTTGTGTCTTGTGTTCAGTTTCAGTGTCTCCATCATCATCTTCATCATCATCATCATCTTCATCATCATCATCCTCACAGACTGAGATCAGTCCAGGCCGCTCTGTGACTCTCTCCTGTCAGTTGTATTTATATTCTGGAGACTCCTGTAATTATTGGGTTCTTTATGAGGGATTTGAGCTGTTGTGGGTGAATCAGGCTGGTGTTGATCTGAAGACAGACTCCAGATATCAGATATCATCATCATCATCATCATCTCCAGATCACTGTATCATCACTCTGACTACAACACTCCTGGATGAAGATGACAACAGAGAGTGGAGATGTCAGCTTACTCAGAGAAATCAAGTCCAGACGTCAGTCAGATACACTGTCAAGTATTCAGGTGAGGAAACAGTGTTAGAAGAGCCTCATGATGTGAGGAACACTGAGGTCTATCAGTATCACTGAACCAGAACAAACTGAGGGAACAAAAGCTTCTTTGACTCTCACAGAAGAGGAACTCAAAGCGTTGCTTCAAACTAATGAACTGCAGTGAAGTCACAGTCCAACTGTTCACTCTTTATGTAATGTGATGATCACAGTTAAAATATGATGCTCATATTGTACAGTATGAATCATCTGAACTAACATTGATCTTCACAGCTCAAGCTGATTCAACGACAGCAGTGAATCCAGTCCACATCACACACTCTCAGGATCCCTCAACTATAAACACACACGTTTCTAAAGGTACATCATCACTGTCTTTCTCACATCAGTGCTTTTCAGTGCGTAATGCTGGAGTTATCTTCAGTGTTCACTCATCGAAATATGACTGTCATATTCTACAGGACCATTGGCACATTGAGTTGTGTTAGCTTCATTTCATGGACTCGTGTGGTGTGTGTAAACATGTAGAAGTGTGTGTTGACCTGAACTAACACACGTGATCTCCACAGGTGATCCGGCATCAGGAACTGCTGGATTATTATACAGAGGTACGACACGTTGATTTAGACGGACAGCTTTCTAACATTACACTATCAGTCCGTCTGTAAATGCTTCATCAATAACTGTTGATAGATGAAGACCCTTGACTTCAGTCATGTCCAGTTTCTCTTGAGATGATGCTCCACAAGACACCGTTCCCCTGCAGAACACAAGCTTCTGGACACACATCGGTCAGGAGCAGTGATGTAGTGGAGGCTAAACAAACGTAAACGCCGTTTACGCCGTTCTGATTACAACCTGTTCATCCAGATCTGCAAATCTCTGATTCCAGTTACTCACCTGTTAATCCCGACGTACCTGTGTAAATAAACTCATTGAACTTACCTATCTGTGTCTTCCGGCTTTGTGACAATTTTAAGATGTTGTGAAGGCAAAAAAAATAAAATAAAAAATCGATTTTAACAGCTTTAAAACCATGTCAGTGGGCAGCTGATTATTTTTCTCTCCTCATCAGCATCACACTCTTTTTCTCTTTGTTTTTATCTTGTCCTGTCTCTTCCCCTCCTAAAGTTGGCTTTTTTAATTTACTAATGCGAAACAATTTGTATTTAATTCTCAATATGTACACACACATTCATTATTAATCCTGTGCCTAACATGATGAAAAAGGCTTTGTTCATGTCTCTTGTTCCCTCACAATGACAGTAGCCTAAACTATTACACTAGGCTACATGTTACATAGGCCTATTTCAGTTCAAAATGGCGAAATTAGACAAAACTATATTAGTTTGCCTGTAAAGAAGGACTCGTTATTAATGTCTTGGTAACGGGATTCAGCCAATCAGCGCCTTTGTTTTGGAGCCACGGAGAGGACACCCGTTTTGCGCGAACTGATAGGTTTCGTTTTGAGTTAACGGTGAGAGTGGCCGGGAAGCCCATCGTAGATATTTCTGAGGAGAATAGTTAATAAATCAGTCATCTGTGCTGTTATCCGTGCATGTGTGCGTTCAGAGACATGTGAGTACCCTGGTGAATGTTTTACATATGTGTATTTTGGTGTATTAGGGTATTTAGGAGTGTTGCTTAATCTGAGGTACTCAGTTGAAATGTAGTATTGTTAGCTTAAAGTTCGCTAACAGCACATTAATGCCTAGTATTATTAGTAATACACTACTATTGTGCTTATGAGTATTCATCTGATACTGCAGTTGTCCATTATCCATGCAGTTATCCTTGTTACTGAGAGAAGGCTGTTTTAGTTTAATAATAAGCTAATGTGTGCTGGTATATTATTTTGTTTATTTGATTTAAATAGCTAAAGTTACCTGAAGGGAAGATTATACTAAATGACAAGTATTAGCTTTAATAATTGTATCCTAACAGCATTTTTTGTTACTTGTATGCTGATATTTTTCTTTTATTATTGTTGTTGTAGAACCACACATACTGTACATTTTAAGAAGACAGACAATCATCTGTTGGCTGTCAATAAACCCCTTCAAGAGATTCAGAGCATCCATTTGCATTCTTACCGATGCACCACAGTGGTCACTTATCCCAACAAGCTATAATTACAGTCCTAGCTATCAAAGTCTTCGTTTCATTGCCTAATTATTTTTTGTCATTCGTTTAACATTTATGACCAAAGAAACTGTCAAATATATACTTACATCTTATCTCGCACTTGACCGTACACTGAAGCGTCGATTTGCACTGTTAAAATTCGCGCTCAGCGTCTGTGAACATAAAGCCCGCCTACTTTGATTTGATTGGTCATCTCAAATATTCTGACATTGACGAGCGGTGACAGACCAATGAGGCTCTGAACACACACACATCCTGTCAGCTGTTTCTGACGTGCTCTCTGCTCGGCGCCGCTGCGGATTGAAGATGAAGAACGCGCTGAATCTGATTATAACAAGAAGTTTGAAGATTGATTTTTCATTAGGATATTTTTGGTTCCCCCTCAGCACTTGGTGCCCTACGCACAGCGCGTGATGCATATGGTGGGAGCGGCAGCGCTGCATGTTTCTGAATTACAGATCACAGTGATGACTCACGGCTTCTGGTGTGCATTTTATGGGTGTATCTGACCCCACGCACAGCCTCCCCACTCTGCCTGGATACAGTTTAACGTCAATGCCCAGGACGATAGAGAAATGGGGAACAGATACATCTGGAATGAAGGCCTCTCATGTAGCCTTATTCGAATATGCCTGTTTCTCTCTGTCTGACACATGATAAATAATAAATCGAGATCTCTTGGCAAAGTAACTGGTGTAGTTTCCGTGATTCAACAATATGGGAAAAGCATGATTCTTAAATCTAATCCTTCCTAACTTAAAACGCTGATAATGAGATCGCCACCAGTAGCTTTTGCCTCCTGGACATAAACACTGCACACCAGAAATGATGTCACTTCCAGGACCCTGAATAACACGCTTAGTTAGATGTCCGTCTAGTCTCCTTTTATATCCGCTGAAAGTACCATATCCGCCCTAATCACTATAATGTCTGATCGCATCTCCACAACTGTAGAGCTGCTTTGAAACAGTCTATATTGGTTAAAGCGTTATATAAATGATTGACGACGTCTGAATCAACTAATCGAGGTCTTTGAGTTTACTTGAATATCACAGTCAGGTGTGTGTAGGAACCCGGTTTTATGTAAAATCATTGAAATAAAAATATTAGCAACACTGAAACAATCAAATTAACAGTGAACTTGTAAATGGGTTGCAGCAACTATAGCAAACATTTCTTGGACAGGAAAAGATGAGCAATTCAGTTGTAGAAAGAAGAGGAAGTGTTTTCTGAATGTGAGAGAGTTCACAGCCATCCGCCTAAACTGGGTTCAGAGATGATGTTGTGTGTGTGTGTTTAACAGTGCGGTCAAACTAACTGAGTTCTCAACGCCAGCGAAGACATACTTCTGAAACACCATTACTGTGGACAGCAAGTTCGGTCCAACACTCGTGAAGTGTGTGCAGATACTTTCTGTTTCACCAAACTGAGCTGATGTTAATCCTCAAAATACCTTAAAAACTGTTTTAGAATTCATTTTATACAAGTTAGTCGTGGATATTGGAAACCTTTTTAGAAACAAACCAATTGTATCACTAATAATGTCATTATTTTTTAATTATATGAGAGTAACAGTAATTCTCTTGTGTACAAAAGTAGCCAATAAACTGTTCAGATCAGATGTGTGTTCAGCCAATGACATTAATAGTAAATGCACTTCTCGCAACACACACACACACACACACACACACACACAGACACACACAGAGCAACACTTCACTGTCATGGACTGATAGTGTCACTATAGCAACGGATGTCAAAAGTTCATCAGATAAGATGAAGTCAATAACCACAGGAGGAGCTGATGATGATTAAAGGAGGAGCTGTAACTATATATAATGAAGAGGAAGAGCTGTCACTATATCTAATGAAGAAGAAGACGGACAGAAGCAGAAATGTCTGATCAGTGTGATCTGTGTCTGCTGGGACTGATCATTCTCTCTTCACTTCTCACAGGTAAAGAAATCTGTATTTTCTCTAAACACATTTAGTGGAATTAGTCTGGAAAGAGTTGATTTGAACATGCTCAATTTATTCTTGCACACATTCACGTTGTGATCTCAGAGTTGTGTATTGATACACACACGTTATACAAAAAGATACTCTTGAGAATCGATCATCCGTTTATTCGTCAACACCAAACGTTACACCACCTCGTTCGTGCTCTAACAATAACTGCCATGTGAAATCTTAAACAATATTCAGCACAGAGGTATAATGTGCATGAACACATTTTTTTAATGTCTAAAACTTAAACTCCCACTCTTCAAAAAACAAAAAACAAATGTAATAACGATAATCTTTCAATCCAGCATACTAACAGGACTGAACAACAACTTCCTTGAACAGAAATACGGCCTAGTATATTTTAAGAAGCTCTCGAGTCCAACTCAAAGACAGACTGTTTTAATGGCTCTGGAAGCCCCAGACTCAATCTGAATAGTTATGCTCAGAGTGTCTCCCCCTCGATGTAACCCCTCCCCATTAAACTCTATGATAATGTGAAGGTGTGGGTGGTACAATGAGTCTGACTGGATTACCATCTATACATGACACTGTTATGCTGATGAGATCAGGGATGGGGAATTTCCGGTAACGAGCTGAATCCTGTGCCTCATTTACATGCTTTGTTTCAGAGTGTCTACACCTCTATGTAACCCCTCCCCCTTGTAAGGTGTATGAACACAAAGTATTTTGCCTTTAGTCAGACTCGGCTAAGATTTTTGGACGAAGCAGACTACAGCAATGCAACAGCCAGAGTTCTGTTTTCCTGAAAGCCGTCACGATTGAAACCGAGATAGGCCTATTCATAACAGTTCCCATTATAAACCGCCTCATTCTGAATAAATCAGACGTTTGAACGAATCGTTTAAATGAACGAGTCGGCCGCCTGCCGCCTCCTACTGGCGGTTTAGTTTCAAACTATCACTCTTTTCATTCCTTATTTGTTTATTCCAAAAATATTTTATTTGGAAATATTTTCCAAAAATAATCTTTCAATGTAGGCCTAAATTATTTAATTTGATTGGTAACAGCCTATAGGCTAGGCTGTCTTATTATTTTAATTGAATGTAGCTTATTAATAAAATGTAAGAATTTGAAATGAAATTTAGAGCATACATTAAATAACATTAGGGGAAAGTGCCCTTTATAAAGGTACAAAAAAATATTCAGATAAGAGTGTTTTCAAAAATGAAACATTGACAATTTAAGTTTAAAGGGAGTAAAGCCTCTATTTGGGCTAGAAAAGAAATGTAATTTTACCAAAAGAAGAACTTTTAATATAAATAAATGTTAATTTTAAATCAGCCTACTTCAGTGTGATATGTTACTATATTATCATGTTTAATTGAATAATTGTAATGTGATGATCAGATGCAGATATCTAAATCAAAGAATATGTGTTTGGCCCGTGGATTATTATTTATTTTTAACAACAGATTCAAGTGACTCAAAGTGCACCAGATTAATGAATTTATCTTTAAAATGTACAAAATTTTCTCCCGGGGGGTATTCCCCCGGCCGGACCCCCCTAGTGTTACGATTTTGCCCACTCTGCCTCATTTTGAGCCAATAATATTTTATTATTTTATAATTACACATGGAGCACTACCCCCCAATTATGGTTGGGTAATTCGCACTCTGGTTGTAACGAGACATGAGACTTGTAAAAAAAAAAACTTTGCTTCCTGCAAGATCTCGAAGGCTGATGACATCAGTGGACAGGGAAAAACACTGGTCAACGAGTAACTGTGACATCCAACAATCTGACAACAAGACAGAGAAAGAGAGGCTTAGAAGAAGACAAGATAATGAGAGGAGATGAGGAACAGGTGGAGAGGAATGAGCAGAATGAAAAGAGAAAACAGCTGATGTGTGTGTGTGTGTGTGTGTGTGTGTGTGTCCAGCAGAGGGAGACAGAGAAGGAGACAGGATCATTGTTATCATTAAACACTGAGAGAGTGAATAAGACCGCGGTACGGTGTACATTTTAGGACATCCTCAGACATATGAAGACAAGGCATCATGCCTCAGACTGAAAAGCTTCAGGTCTCAGGAAAAACAATGTCAGGTCTCGTACAATTACTGTAACGGTCACCAGGTGGAGTGCCCTTGAGAGTCACCAGAGGGCACTCCACACCAGATGTTCATGTTTCCCTCACAACTACGTTTCCCAGAACTCACTGCCCGGACTCATCATCACTGATCACATCCACCTGTACCTCATTCACTGATTGCATTCACCTGTCTCATCATCCTGTTAGTCTGGCTATATATGCCTTGTTCATTCAGTCACTCACCGCGAAGTCTTGTTTAAGTGTTTCACTGCAATTCTGAGCATTCTTATGGTTTTCTGGTCTCTTGGTTTTGGATATCTTGCCCTGTTCCCTGGATTACTCTCTTGCCTCTGGTCCCTGCCTGTTTTGTTTGTTTCTTTGTTTATCTGTTTTGGACTGCCTATCTATTTATGACCCTTGCCTGTACATTGGATTGCGCCTCTGGATTGCCCTCAAATAAAGCTGCGTTTGGATCTAAACTTGCCTTTCTCAGAGCAGTGATTCGTGACAGAAGACTTCGCCACAGATGAATCCAGCAGCACAAATCCGGGAGTTTGCTGGTCAGATCGCGGCCTTGGCCCTGGATAGCCGTGATCTGTTCCAGTATACCTGGGGGTTTGTTCCTCTCGCTGCCTCCTGCTCTCTCGGTGATGAGGCTATTAAGCTGTGTTACCAGCTAGGGGCTAAGGAGGTCAACCCGAGGGAGCTCCCCAATCTCTCGGGTCTGAACTGGAGAGAGGCGGTCTCCGTTTGTGAAGAGAGTTTCATTCCAAAGCCTCATCACGTCTCAGCAGAGCTTCCACAGCCCGCGCTCACCGTCAGCCCTGCCGAGCCCGCGCTCACCATCAGCCAGAGACCGTCAAACCAGAGTCTCGTCCCGCCGAGACAGCCCAGCCAGAGTCTCGTCCCGCCGAGACAGCACAGCCAGAGTCTCGTCCCGCCGAGACAGCCCAGCCAGAGTCTCGTCCCGCCGAGACAGCCCAGCCAGAGTCTCGTCCCGCCAAGAAAGCCCAGCCAGAGTTCCATGTCAGCCCTGCCGAGTCTGAGCCTGTTCACGTCACTTCTGCCGAGCCAGAGACGCTCCACGTCACTTCTGCCGAGCCAGAGACGCTCACGCCAGCTCTGCCGAGCCAGAGACGCTCCACGTCACTTCTGCCGAGCCAGAGACGCTCCACGTCACTTCTGCCGAGCCAGAGACGCTCACCGCCAGCTCTGCCGAGCCAGAGACGCTCACCGCCAGCTCTGCCGAGCCAGAGACGCTCCACGTCACTTCTGCCGAGCCAGAGACGCTCCACGTCACTTCTGCCGAGCCAGAGACGCTCCACGTCACTTCTGCCGAGCCAGAGACGCTCCACGTCACTTCTGCCGAGCCAGAGACGCTCCACGTCACTTCTGCCGAGCCAGAGACGCTCCACGTCACTTCTGCCGAGCCAGAGACGCTTCACGTCACTTCTGCCGAGTCAGAGACGCTCCACGTCACTTCTGCCGAGTCAGAGACGCTCCACGTCACTTCTGCCGAGCCAGTGTCTCCGGACAAGATGGCCGCCTCCGAGCCAGTGTCTCCGGACAAGATGGCCGCCTCCGAGCCAGTGTCTCCGGACAAGATGGCCGCCTCCGAGCCAGTGTCTCCGGACAAGATGGCCGCCTCCGAGCCAGTGTCTCCGGACAAGATGGCCGCCTCCGAGCCAGTGTCAAGATGGCCGACCCAGTGTCTCCGGACAAGATGGCCGACCCAGTGTCTCCGGACAAGATGGCCGACCCAGTGTCTCCGGACAAGATGGCCGACCCAGTGTCTCCGGACAAGATGGCCGACCCAGTGTCTCCGGACAAGATGGCCGACCCAGTGTCTCCGGACAAGATGGCCGACCCAGTGTCTCCGGACAAGATGGCCGACCCAGTGTCTGCTCCCGAGCCAGTGTTTGTTTCTATGTTTGTTTCTGTGTTTGTGACCATCTCTGTTCTAGTGTCTGTTCCTGAGCTGGTGTCTGGTCCCGAGCCGGTGTCTGGTCCTGAGAGGTCTTCTCCGCCGTGGCCGCCCAAAGGGTCTTCTCCACCGTGGCCGCCCGAAGGGTCTTCTCCGCCGTGGCCGCCCGAGGGGTCTTCGCCGCCGTGGCAGCCCGAGGGGTTTTCACCGCCGTGGCTGCCCAAGGGGTCTTCGCCGCCGTGGCCGCCCGAGGGGTCTTCGCCGCCGTGGCTGCCCGAGGGGTCTTCGCCACCGTGGCCGCCCGAGGGGTCTTCACCGCCGTGGCCGCCCGAGGGGTCTCCACCGCTTTGGCCGCCCTCAAAGCCTGCTCCGCCCTGGCCGCCCGCACAGCCTGCTCCACCCTGGTCTTCCGTCCTAGTCTCCAGGCCCTATTCTGCTCCACAGGCCTGGCCCTCCATCCCTCCCCCGGATCCGCCTCCGCTCCACCTCCCTCCTGAACTGTTTTTGGAGCGTCTGGAAGCCGCTCTTTGGGGGGGGGCTATGTAACGGTCACCAGGTGGAGTGCCCTTGAGAGTCACCAGAGGGCACTCCACACCAGATGTTCATGTTTCCCTCACAACTACGTTTCCCAGAACTCACTGCCCGGACTCATCATCACTGATCACATCCACCTGTACCTCATTCACTGATTGCATTCACCTGTCTCATCATCCTGTTAGTCTGGCTATATATGCCTTGTTCATTCAGTCACTCACCGCGAAGTCTTGTTTAAGTGTTTCACTGCAATTCTGAGCATTCTTATGGTTTTCTGGTCTCTTGGTTTTGGATATCTTGCCCTGTTCCCTGGATTACTCTCTTGCCTCTGGTCCCTGCCTGTTTTGTTTGTTTCTTTGTTTATCTGTTTTGGACTGCCTATCTATTTATGACCCTTGCCTGTACATTGGATTACGCCTCTGGATTGCCCTCAAATAAAG